CCCCCCCCCCCCGGATCGCTTTGCTCTTCGCCACTCGCGCGAGTGACTCAAAGGTGAAGCAGCTCGCAAGCTACAGAAAGATCTGTCATTGAGTTTTGCTATTGAAAAACGTCGAGGTCTTAGAAGGTCTTATATGGGATGAAACTAAAACCTTTGCGGGAAGGATAGACAATTTTTCATCATAGAACATGGTAGCGTCACATTGCAATACATTTTTCGAATTGCCAATCATTTTAAACTCAAAACCATTTCCAGTAGTCGACACTGGATTGACCATTAAAGGCACTTACTATCGAAGTTAAACAATTTCCAAGTCCCGCTATTTCGAGCTGTTTTTATTTTCCCTTGAAGGTTCTAAATATCGGGGTTCAACTGTAATAGATATCTGGATCAATTACTACTACTAAAATTGTTTAATGGTTAGAGTGTTAGGGCTACAGGGTTTTTTGTCGTGACTTAAGATGTATGAACTAGTTGCGAGACATTTTATTCGTAGAACTTCTCTCCCCACCTAACTTGGGAGACTTCTACATGTACGCACGCCACTGCTACCAGTGGACCATGGGTCAATACCAGTCAGGAATTTCCTGGTCTGCAGAGATTTGATATCGTTACAATTTGGGATCTAGATATTGAGAGATTCCAGAGTGGTTTTCAATTGAGTGTCGTAAGACCAAAATCAAACCAGCTACAAACCAATTAGACCACTCAGCCGATCTCAAACCGTACTAAAACCAAATCCAATATAACTGCCAAGTTACTTTCGACAGTTAATTAAAACCGCTCTATATAGCAGATCTAAACCTATTTTAATAGTTACAAGTAGGTTAAAACTTGGTAGAATTTAAGAATTGTCACCGTCGCATTCGTAGAACTCCACTCTCATGGATATGTGGTCGGACCAGGTCTGTGGTAGTACCCGGATGTAGCGCGCAAAAATTACAGGATTTATTGTGTTGTAAACAATTGTGTCTTGATCCCAGTTCGCACTGAAAATCTGAGGAGGTAAAATAATATGATATTCTGCAAGTATTATTTCAGAGAGATGGGCCATGCAAACCCCTGGGGTTACTCTCATATATTTGTTCTATAGGTATGTTCCGCGGGATAGTGTAGGGCTTTGGGGTTCTCGGTCTTTGAATAGGGTATCATTTTATTCCCTGTTCGCATTGTGTTCCAGGTGTGATTCTTAGATAGGGTATCAGCTAAAATTGCAGTGCGTAAATTCCCAGTCAAATGGAAGACATATGATTTGTTAAAACTAAACTACAGTCGAACCTCCCGTAAGCGACAACCCAAAATGTCAAGTCGAGGTGGTCGCTTACGAGAGCTTACACCATATTGGATCAAAATTTTGCCTCGTTAGCATGTGGTAACTGCAGAGACTTACCCCATATTTTAAATGTTTTATTAGTCATGTGAAAAGTCAATTTCGAGAAAAGCTCGTGGAGGTCGCTTACGAGAGGTGGTCGCTAACAAGAGGTTCAAAATATAATGATTCGACTTGGAAACTTTTCGTATTTTGGAAAACTGGTCGCTGAGGAGAGGTGGTCGCTTACGAGAGGTGGTCGCAACCGGAGGTTTGACTGTATTCATAAATTCCCAATGTTACAGAAACGAAATAAAGTTGAACCGTTCACGCTATTCTCAATTTTTGTTTTCCCTGGAATAGGGTGTCATTGCTCGGGTTTTGGGGCTTAATTAGGGTATCAATTTTTATTTGATTCATCCTTAAATAGGGTCAAAGTCTAAGATCCTTCGCGATACACACGTATTCGAAATTTACGGAAGTATTGGAGGGAGGGGGGAGGGGGGAGGCATGAAAGCAACAATACGAGGAAAATTATTTTCTTGTCTTTTATGGCCCATCCTGGGCTGACAAAATTTGTTCGCTCTACCAAAACTTAGGACAAATGCAACTCCACAAAGTTTTCACTTCCGTAAACGTGTCTGCACCTATTTTACATATTTCCTAGCCACAAAATGTCAATAACATTAGATTGTCTCATTAAGCAAATTCGTTTTGTACCACCGTTTAAAACTTGGTCTGGCTATGAAATCTTGCGTGAAGTTCCTTCGCTTGACCTTACCGTTGCTTAATCTCGCTTTGAAGCATAGTTATGGAGTAAACGCGGAAGTGAACAATGGATGCTGTGGTGATATTAGGATTGGTCATCCTTAGTCGTAAAAGATAACGGACCAGTTAGAGAACATGTGGTTGGGACGAATGCAGGCAATTTTCTATTTTACATTAAATTGTCGCTGCGAGCCAAACGTTCAACATTCCTTACGAAGGATTTTCATTCTTATTTTCGCAAACATAAGACAAAAACAAAATCACACACCAACTCACGACGTTCTTCCGGTCCCCAAATAGTCTTCCAAGCGTTTGCACGACTAATCTCGTCCCCAGGCCATACAATTTTTCAACCATGTATGTGTTAGCTCACCTTATCTCCACCACACTGCTTGTAAGTTTCAAAAGCGCTTCCATCCATACTGTAAGACAGCAAGTAACTTAGCACCCACTGGGGATAGCCGTGTCTTCCCTGAGTCGCCACTTTAGACAACGTAACGTTTTGTAAGAAATCAACCTGCAACCACTGGTTAACATCAAGAACAAGTGCCGACCAGGAACCCGCATAAACTTGAGAATTCAGCCGCGCTCCACGAGGTGCGAGAGGAGAAGAGTATTCAGAAGAAGCTGTAATCTGCGAGTCAAGTATGGCGCCGCTCCCCATTCCAAGAGGTCGACAATTTCTGTCTAAGGTATAAGTGGACGAAATGATGTAAACGTTTAGCTCCTTTTAGTTTTTAGTCCATGAAACCCGTTTTAATTTGAAACTGGTATTATTACAAGAAGGAACAAACAATAAATTGTGTTTTCATATGACGTCATGGCAGCCATATTGGTGTCCCAAAACAATGAAACGGCGGCCATGTTGGTTTCCCAACCGATCCAGTGGAAGTTGACTCTTCCTTAGGTAGACGATTTCTTTTCAGTGTTCCAGCAAGTTTGCATGGTTGCTGGCCACACGTGAGTGAAACTCTCTGTAGTTATTGTGCCAAGTTGGAAAGAACGCGGTTTAAATCTGTTTTAACGTACGTTTATATGGCTGCTTTGTAACATTGCGTCGCTGCCGTAGACACGTTTGTAAATGCCTTAGGCCCCGTTCACACTGTGCCGGTGTAATTTGAAAACGGAGGTTTCACTCTAAAAACGCTTCAAATGTTTTCCGTCCACACTACGCCGGAGGAATTTAAAATCGCAACAACCACCGGCCATTTTGGATTTGTGTGCGAAGAAAACTCGGTCAGGGAAATCACGTGATTATCGTGAAGCCATCGTTTTCGAAAAGCTCTGTTTTATAAATGTTTTCCGTCGACACGAAAACGAGAAGCCGGCGTTTTCAAACTCCTGTGGTTTGAAGAGAGTTTTCCAAAACCTCCGTTTTCGTGACGGATAAGTGTGGACGGTAGGCCTAACCGTAGAAATAAAGCTGCGTATTCAAATTTCTCCGGCGTAGTGTGGACGCTGCCCTAACAGTAAATATCAACGTGTCGATCAATATGGACACAGAAGATATCAGAGCTACTAAATTGAATTTGCCATAGATTGGATCAAAGAATTACCGAAATGAACAACACCATCTCGTTTATTTCCAAATTTACCTTCATTTGTGAGACTTTCCAACTCGCTGTGTGTTGTGTGATAACAAGATGATCGTTTTGTTGTGTCATATCGCCTGCGATCCCTGGTCAGCGCCTCTTCATAGTAACACCGCCACTGTGGAGTAGAGTAGATATGTCCTTTGTCATATCGAGCGAAGAATCGTCCCCAACAGTTACTTTTTCGTATTGGATTCCATTGAACACTACATCGTTCGTCTCTAAGCTTCTGCAACTCTGTGGTAAAACATAAGGGACAAGAATTGTTTTTCCTGATTTCTTAATTTATTGATTGAGATATCATTGAGGACGACATCGACGCATTTCGTTCTTAATAATAGCCTTTTGTATACTAACAATACAAGGGATACACAATAATCTACGGGTGCGTTATAGATCTGGCCTTTGGTGTGTCAGGTCTGGGGCTTAAATCACAAACCCAAACCCTAATAGCATCCTATATATTGTTTGTTTAAAACCTATTCTTAAACTAAGGGTAGGATTTTGTTCAGAACGTACGAACGTAAGAACGCTCTAAACTCATGTTGCAATGTCACGCCAAGTCAAGCATTGAGCACGCGCGCTAAGGAAGAAGTATAAACAAGGAAAGAGCTTGATTCCTGATTCGTTGAGTTCACGTTTAGTCCACTCTCTTAAAGCGCATATGACATGAAAAATAATTTTTGCTTATTTGAAAGGCCTTTCAAAATACAGAAGAATGGTGTTTTTCAATCAGTGATGACGTCATATTGTTTGCAACTAAAAATGGTAAAATACTGAATAAACAATATCTCTAGAAATATTGAAGCAGTGTTCTTCAAACTTGGCACCACAAATGTACATCACAAAAGAAACAAAATGACACCCCTAGTGCTGTTGCCATGACAACAGTTTTGCCGCTGGTGCTGTCTTAATAAAAACTGAAATTCCCAGTTTTTGTCTTAAACTAAGAACCATCTACCCTACCCAATCTAATGATGGGAGTTAANTGCCATGACAACAGTTTTGCCGCTGGTGCTGTCTTAATAAAAACTGAAATTCCCAGTTTTTGTCTTAAACTAAGAACCATCTACCCTACCCAATCTAATGATGGGAGTTAAGACAATATGGGAACTATCAACAACAACAACAACAACAACAACTATGTCTGTTCCAAGTAGAACCCTTTGTCTCACTTTAGAGGTTGCAAATGGGGATATTTGCTTTTTTGACAGACAGAGACTGGAGCTGAAAGAGTTGTTATGGCAGCACCACTAAGGGTGTCATTTTGTTTCTTTTGTGATGTGCATTTGTGGTGCTAAGTTTCAAGAATACTGCTTCAATATTCCTAGAGATATTGTTTATTCAGTATTTTACCATTTTTAGTTGGAAACAATATGACGTCATCACTGATCTAATTTGCATAATGGAAAAACGTCAATATCTCTAAAACGAAAAAGGATATTTAAAAAAGAAAAGCACCATTCTTCTGTATTTTGAAAGGCCTTTCAAATAAGCGAAAAATATTTTTCATGTCAAATGCACTTTAAATGATCGCTGATCCCCCATTTTGTTTTCATAGGTCACTTCCATCATTAATGATCCAAATTTCAACAAGAAGAGGGAAAAAAAATGAACATGAGAAATTTAAAATATTTCGCTTTTTCTTCTCAGATATAATCGAATTTTTCTATTAATTCGAGTTTGTGTGATTCGCCACAATTCGCCTGGAGAGCTAAATCTATGTGAAAAATAGTATAAGTTAGAAAA